TCCGGTGGGCGACAGCATGGTAGGTAGTTCTCAAGTGTTGCAAACGTACAATGTACCTCTCCAGGAGGTCAGAGCCAATTTGGCAATGTGGCGACCGGCCATATTGTCTGAGTATGAAAGTCTGACCAAGATTACCAAGGCTGTAAGGCCTGTTCACCGGGACACCCTGAAACACCGAACTGATGTGGAGTACGCTCCTGGTAAACTGGTAACCACAGTCAAGGCTCCTCATGGAAAAATGAAGGCAAGGTTGGTAGTGTGTGGAAACATGGTAGAAGCTTCAGTGGATGCTCAAACGGAAGACCAAGAGAAGGAAGGGTTGTCCGAGTATCTCAACAAAACCAAGAGTAGGGATACGTATGCATCTGGAGCTGACGCCGCAGCCATCCGTGCCACTCTTCGACATGCTGGAGACCATGGATGGGGGTGTGAAAGCATTGATGTGCGGACGGCGTTCTTGTTGGCTCCACGTCGAGGCACTGGTCTACTAGCAGTTCGACCACCGAAGATCTTGGTATCTGCCAACATTTGCTCGCCTGACGAGATGTGGTTGGTAAATCGTGCCCTTTACGGACTACAGACGAGTCCCAGTGATTGGGGTGCATTTCGAGATGGTGAGATGAATAGCTGGACTTGGTCAAAGGGGAATCGAAGCTTTCGGCTGGAATGTACACGGGAGCCTAACCTCTGGCGAATCAAGGAAAGGCTGGCTGGGGACACCGAGAAGACAGTGGGTCACATCTTGGTCTACGTTGACGACATGCTTGTCACCGGGGAGACCGAGGTGATTGCGGCCTACCTTGACCATGTAAAAGGAGTCTGCAGTGCTCACCACCTGAATGGATCTCGAAGGACGGACCGGCAGTCAAATTCTGCGGCTTTGAGCTCAAGGAGGGGTCCAATGGTTCCATTCAAGTCAGTCAAGGAGCCTATGCAAAAGAACTGGTGAAAAGGTATGGGTGCACCAAGACACGCCCTGTGCCTATGTCGCCAACTATGGCATCCAACATCCCTGAAGAAAAGGACTCTGAGTTAGACCCGAAGTTGGTGCGCCAGGCCCAGGCCATCACTGGCGAGATCCTCTGGTTGGCATTGAGAACTCGACCAGACCTTGCTTTTGCTGTGGGGGTTATGGGACGGCATTCCACAAAAAACCCAGGCTTTGTATGCCAACTTGGGAAGGAGGTCGTGGAGTACATCAACGGTTCCACGGGTACAGCTCTGGAGTATGGTCGGTGTGATCCGACGGATCGAGGACCTGATGATGGTCTTCCTTTTCCTCGATCAATGAGAAGATTGGAAGCCTATGCCCTATGCGGATGTCAGCTTCGCGCCTCAAGCTTCGAGATCTATCCAAGGAGTACTTGTGCTCTACGGCGGCTCTCCGATCATGTGGGAATCAGGCAGGCAGAGCTGCATTACCTTGAGCACAGCAGAAGCTGAACTCCTCTCGTATGTGGAGGCGATGGGCATGGCTGATTCGATGGGGTGCATCCTTGAGGCCTTAATTGGAAGGGGTGCCTTGCCAACTCACTGTGGTCGAGTCCGACGATGAAGAAGCGTCTGAGGAGCTCTACATCCGGGAGAAGATCAAGGTTCCGGAGGGCGAGTTCATAGAAGGAGCGATGGGGATCCAACGAGTCATCTATGGCGACAACACTGCGGCCATTTCGGTAGCTAGTGCTCCGGAGGGGGGAGTGTGGAGGTCACGCCATTTGAGGCTGAGGAGTCATTTCCTACGAGAACGTCTTCGACATCGACAGTGGTGGTCAATTCGACATTTACCAGGTTCTCTGTTGGTGGCTGACTTCCTCACCAAGGCCATCAGTTCGAAGCAGCGTTGGACCTATTTTTTCAAGTTCCTCAACGTGGTCACTACTGCAGCAGCGCAGTTCTCTGAGGAGTTCGAGGAGCAGGAGACTCAGGTGAAGGCCCTTAAGCTCAACCACGAGATTATCAAGATTGCGGCGGCCAGTTTGGGCTTTATGGCAACAAAGGCCATGCAGCCAGGACAACCTGGGTCGTATGATGAAAAAACCAAAACTCTTGTGTTGCTGTGGTTGTGGGTATACCTGAAGAAACGGGTAGAGGGTCTAAAACAACAGGGTCTGTTGCCGATGAACCCCGAACAATGGAAACAGGAACTTGAAAAACCAGGTTCTACTCTCAAGGCGCTGAGGATCAGTGAGCGAGCTTTGTCCCATGACTCTGACGAGAAGGATTTTCGGTCTAAGTTGTCGAGTTCAGAAGCTGTGCAACTGGCTCACGATCTACTTCTGGAACTGCCTGCTGAAGAACGAGAAGGTGGTTTATCTGACCGAGATTTGAAGGATGAGAAGTACGTGGAGGAAGAAGCGATAATCCGTGTTCGAGCTCTACGTCTACATCCTGATCAAGACCTACGGCCTGGTGATGAATTTGCTCTACCGGCTGATGACGCGCTGTGGGATGATCTCGGACTATGTCCTGTTCTTTGTCAACCTCGAGGTGTCCCTGGGGGGTCGCCACTTTTTCCTGAAGGAGCTCTACATTCCGAAGGAGCTCTACATCCTGGAGGAGACCTACACGATGGTGGTTCTCTTCGATTTTTGGTTTCAAGGGATGATCGAAAGGGGTCGTCTCTACATCTTGGAGGAGACCTACGTGATTGTGGTCCTCTTCGGCGTGGGGCGCCGGTGGACGATCGATGGAGTTCGTCTCTACGTCCTGGAGGAGGTCTATGTGATGGTGGTCTGCCTCAACCTTTTGATTTTTCACCAGGGAGCCGACATGGGTCGTCTCTACTTCCTGAAGGAGCTCTACTTCCTGAAGGAGTTCTGCTACATGAGTCAACTGGTCGTCATTTTGACGAATTTGGAGGTGGTATGGTCGTCGGTGGATCGCTGGAGGGGCCCTAGGAGGAGGAGAATGGTCGTCAAGGGGCCCAATCTTCGACTTCTTCGTCTTCAAGTTTGGGACTACATCCGGGAGAAGATCTACATGGGCGACTCACGCCTTGCACTTCCTTTGAAAGGCCAGCCGGGTCTTTGAATTTGAGCACGCAGTTGTGCACTCATGCATTCTGCGTGGTTAACCTGGAGCATCCAGGTCTGAATTCAGATGAAACTCTGGACGGATGGAAGAAAAATGGAACCCCAAGAGTGATTCATTCTCCTGAAAGGGTCATTGAGTTTTCCGAAAGGGTTAGAAGTTCTTCCATTCCAACTGAGGTTCAAGGTAGCTATGGGGTTTCCATAGACGGTGGGAGGGAGAAAGTGAATTCTCCTAGGGTGAGTCAACAGATGCTGAAGGCAGCACCTTCGTCCTCTCACTGTTCAATGGTTCAACGTAGTTGCACACCTCAGCAGGTGGCTGTCCAAGGTAGTCTGAGTGTAGCCGTGCACGGTGGGGGGGAGAAAAAACTTTCTCCTAGTGTGAACCAAAAGATGCTGAAGGCGACTTTTTCGCCCCCTCTCTGGTCAATGGCCGTAGCCTTGGTAGCAGTAGCTATTTTCCACAGTAGAGTAGCCGCTCAACCGAGCGAAGATGATGGCTTCGGCGCTGATGGAAACTTCCTGCTGCTGGCCTATGGATTGGCGATGGCGATCCTGGGAGCTCTGATCGCAAGATGGCTGACGCCTATCACCGTGGTGGCTGCTCCTTTGAGATCCTCTTCGTCTTCAAGGTCATCGAGAACTTCGAGGCGGTCGAGGTCTTCCAGGCGATCGAGATCTTCCAGACGGTCGAGATCTTCCAGGAGGTCGAGAACTTCCAGGTCTAGGTCACCTTCGGACCATCCTCCTACAACAGAAACCAGGGGGGATTCACCAGATGAACTACGTGGAGTTTGGGCACCATGGCCTCCTGCTCCTGGAAATGCACCACGTGACGGTGAAAGCACAGAGAATGAATCCTTGCCTGGGAAAGGAAAAGGAAAAGATGGAAAGGGACGTTTGGCTGCCTTCAACGACTTGGGCATCTACCGTCCTGGCCTTGCAGTGCGGCGAAGACCGCCCTCGAGGGACATTACGTCTGATGCTGGCGAACAAACGCCAGATGGTGAACCAATGGAGTTTCAAGGAGAAACTCAATCTGGTGGTGCTCAACCGAGCCCTGGACCAACTACGCCTACCACGCCCAGATGCCACTGAGGTGTCTGGAAGTGTGAGTGCAGGGGGCACCTATCATCTTCGTGGAGGTGGTCTTCGACCTCTCTGTGCAGTACCAGAAGGTGGAGGTGGTCTTCGACCTCTCTGTGCAGTACCAGAAGGTGGAGGTGGTCTTCGACCTCTCTGTCCAGTACCAGAAATTGGAGGTGGTATCCCGAAGGCGGCATCACTGGTTAGGCCACCTTTGCCTACCGCGGGCTCACCTGCTGCCTTTGCGGCGTCAAGCTCTCAGGGGCCAAACTACAAGGCTCCACCAGCTGCTTTGGGACCACCACCACTTCCCTCAGTATATGCTACTGGATGTGGCACGGTGTACCACCTGAAAAATACATGTGGGAAGTTGAAGTGCGCAAGGCGCATCTTTGAGCGCACGGCCTGCGACCAATGTGGCTCTCCGGCCTTCAATGGGGGCAGAAACATTTGGTTGGTGCACGGCCGTTACCACCTGGAACTTCATGGAAACCTGACGGTTTCAAATACCACCACATGGGCTCCGTGCTTTGAATGTGGAGGTGGATGAGATGGAAAAGGTGAACTGAGAGCCGGTTGTCTCAAAGAGACAAGGGGGAGTGCGGTTACATCACAAATTTGTGACCCTGTCGCACTCAGGTTTTGCAAAGCTTTGCCCGGCCAATGCGTTGGCTCAAGGCGACTCAAACTGAGATTGCCAAGAAAAACAACGAGGTGTCATTGGGACGCGACTTTAGTTGTTGGAGCCCATAACATTGGGACGCAACTTTAGTTGTCGGAACCCATAACCACCTGGTTTGTAGCCTCCCGTATTATATATATAACTCCCTATGTTCTTGGGGCTGAGCCCAGCCCGACCCCCCTCCCAGGAACGTTGCGGTCCTTGGGCGCCGGCTTCGCTGGCTGCGCTGGAGCTGGCCGGGACGCCGCAGGCAGCGCAGGTGGCTCCTCAGATTCGAAGTCTTCTAAGTCTTATTGCAGACAAAACCAATTTCTCATTCGTCAGGTTTAAACCATGAAATCTGTTCGCATTTAGTTGGGTCACTCAAGTGACTGCCCGGTTCTGTTGAAGACCAAAGGAAGAACAGTTCGGTGCCTACAAAATGACAGTGAATTCAGGCGCAATAAACGTGTTCCAGAGAATTTACATGCTTGCGTCGTGCATACACACAGGCTAAAGGCAATGAGATGGGGCCTGCAGCTGACCACAATTATATAACATTATGATACATTATGTATATCCGCCGACCCCGGCAGACGCAAGGGGGAGCGCGCCAGGGAATAAGACAAGAGGTTGCCACCGCCAGCTACTACTACTACTACTACTACTACTACTACTAGTACTACTACTACTACTACTACTACTACTACTACTACTACGCAGCAGCAGCAGCAGCAGGCCCAGCAGCTGAACTCGCTTTGTTTTTATTAGAGCTGAACGCGCTTTAGAAAGACACCAAATACTCAAAAAATTGCTAAATTGCTAGCAATTTTCTTGGGTATCAGAAGTGACGTTTGGCACTTTTCCCGTTTATAAGGGTTTCAAGTACATGGGAAAGAGCACGCAAAAGGTAGACAGGTGAAATTGTAAGCAACTAGAAATGCACATAGCCAGCAGCCAGCGGCAGCAGCAGCCAGCAGCCAGCAGCAGCCAGTAGCCAGCAGCCAGTAAGTAGGCAGCAGGCAGCCAGTAGGCAGGCAGCAGGCAGCCAGTCAGGAGGCACGAAGCCAGCAGCAGGCAGCTAGCAGCACGCCAGTAAGCAGGCAGCAGGCAGCCAGTAGTCAGCGGCCAGGAGCCAGCAGCCAGCAGGCAGCAGCCGCCAATCAGGAGGCTCGAAGCCAGCAGCAGAGATATAGTAGCTAGCAGCCAGTAAGACACAAAATACACAAAAAAACATATTTTCTATGGTTTCAGAAGCGACGTTTGGCACTTTTTCCGCTTATAAGGGTTTCAAGAACATGGGAAAGAGCACGCAAAAGGAGACAAAGGTGATATCGTAAGCAACTAGAAATGCACATAGTCATTAGCCAGCAGCCAGCGGCAGCAGCAGCCAGCAGCAGCCAGAAGGGTTTCAAGAACATGGGACAGAGCACGCAAAACAAAGGTGATATTGTAAGCAACTAGAAATGCACATAGCCAGTAGCCAGCAGCCAGCGGCAGCAGCAGCCAGCAGTCAGCAGCAGCCAGTAGCCAGCAGCCAGAAAGACACCAAATACTCAAAAAATTGCTATTTTCTTGGGTATCAGAAGCGACGTTTGGCACTTTTCCCGTTTATAAGGGTTTCAAGTACATGGGAAAGAGCACGGAAAAGGTAGACACAGGTGAAATTGTAAGCAACTAGAAATGCACATAGCCAGAAGCCAGCGGCAGCAGCAGCCAGCAGCCAGCAGCAGCCAGTAGCCAGCAGCCAGTAAGTAGGCAGCAGGCAGCCAGTAGGCAGCAGGCAGCCAGTCAGGAGGCACGAAGCCAGCAGCAGGCAGCCAGCAGCACGCCAGTAAGCAGGCAGCAGGCAGCCAGTAGGCAGCGGCCAGGAGCCAACAGCCAGCAGGCAGCAGCCGCCAATCAGGAGGCTCGAAGCCAGCAGCAGAGATATAGTAGCTAGCAGCCAGTAAGACACAAAATACACACAAAAATGCATATTTTTCTGTGCGCACACAAAAAATGCATATTTTCTAGGGTTTCAGAAGCGACATTTGGCACTTTTCCCATTTATAAGGGTTTCAAGAACATGGGACAGAGCACGCAAATGGTAGACAAAGGTGATAGAGTAAGCAACTAGAAATGCACATAGTCATTAGCCAGCAGCCAGCGGCAGCAGCAGCCAGCAGCAGCCAGTAGCCAACAGCCAGTAAGCAGGCAGCAGGCAGCTAGTAGGCAGCCAGGAGCAAGCAGCCAGTAGGCAGCAGCCAGCAGTCAGGACGCACGAAGCCAGCAACAGGCAACCACCAAGCAGCCAGCAGGCAGCAAGTAGCAGCCAGCAGCAATATTGTAAGCAACTAGAAATGCACATAGCCAGTAGCCAGCAGCCAGCGGCAGCAGCAGCCAGCAGTCAGCAGCAGCCAGTAGCCAGCAGCCAGAAAGACACCAAATACTCAAAAAATTGCTATTTTCTTGGGTATCAGAAGTGACGTTTGGCACTTTTCCCGTTTAGATTGGATTGGATTCGATTTCTAGCAGGATTCTAGCAGGATAGGGATAGCAGGATTAGAGAGGATTTCTAGTAGGATTTCAGAAGGGACGTTCCGGCCTCCAGGGAACTTGTTCTTGCGATTGATTTGGAGGTCGTTCCGTCCTTCAGGGCCATGGTGTTTCGGTGTGGCGAGGGGGACGTTTTGGAAGCCTGCAGCAGCAGTTGCTTTGTTGTTAACAAGATCCAGAAGGGACGTCAACATTGGATGGATTGGATTGGATTCGATTTCTAGCAGGATTCTAGCAGGATAGCAGGAGAAGGGATAGCAGGATTAGAGAGGAGTCTAGACGATTTCAGAAGGGAACGTTCCGGCCCTCCAGGAACTTGTTCTTGGGAGTGATTTTTGTTGGGTCATTTTTTCTTCGGCAACGAAATTAGGTTGTTTTTTTGCCGTTTCGCTGTGTTTTCGAAAAAGGAGGATTAGCAGGATAAGAGAGGTTCTAGCAACGATAGCAAGGATCAGAGAAGGATAAGATTTCTAGTAGATTTTCAGAAGGCGTTCCGGCCCCCCAGGGAACTTGTTCTTGCGATTGATTTGGAGGTTGTTCCGTCCTTCAGGGCCATGGTGTTTCGGTGTGGCGAGGGGTACGTTTTGGCAGCCTGCAGCAGCAGTTGCTTTGTTTTTAACAAGATCCAGAAGGGACGTCAACATTGGATGGATTGGATTGGATGGATTCGATTTCTAGCAGGATTTTAGCAGGATAGCAGGAGAAGGGATAGCAGGATTAGAGAGGATTTCTAGTACGATTTCAGAAGGGACGTTTCGGCCCCCAGGGAACTTGTTCTTGCGATTGATTTGGAGGTCGTTCCGTCCTTCAGGGCCATGGTGTTTCGGTGTGGCGAGGGGTACGTTTTGGCAGCCTGCAGCAGC